TTTAAAGTTATAATTCACAATTCACGATGAAGGTATATAACTTCTCACTATGTTACATTCCGCTTAAACGTTTAGTCACGCATTGCGCTATTTTCCTAGTTGCCTAGCCGTAATAGGGAATACTGAATTTTTCATCTGGGCAACGTATCCGATGCTAAAATATATTTTCAATTAAGAAGCATATAGTAGAAATAATTAAATATTTGAAAGTATTGCCTGAAGCGAAACACGAAGGCGGCATAGAAATTTCTTTCTGTATCTTCCTCGGAATCATGCTGTTGTTTCTTCCTTTCTCACAGTTAATTTTGTCCACCTTATTTGGACAAACAATAAATGCGTGATTTTCTTTTTTCTCTTTGAATTGAGATGGTACATGCTTCAAGATAATGTTCAAACCAGTGGTGTCGGAAAATATTCGTCAAATTTAAATTAATGCTTCTGGATTTTAAAAAAGGCCAAAATTTTTCGAAAATATTTATTTTATATTCATGACAGGTAGATATCTAAAGAAAATTTAGTAAATTGTTTTTTAGTCTTCAAGATGTTTTGAATAAATATTTTGGTAATTTTTTACATTAGTTGACATTGGAATTGAGACTTGAAGTTTAGTGAGGTAGTAAAGTAGTGTAGTAGTATTTACTAGAATTTTGTTTATTATTTGTTTAAAAATCAATGTGAGTGAGATACAGGCTCTTAAAGTTTTCTTAATTGGAGGAAATTCCGGTAGGTACGGCTCTGGCTTCAGCCTTCCGTCAGCTGTTCCCGCCAAATATTGTTTGTCCTAAAACATATCTTCCTAACATTATTCTAATATAGGGGCATTAAAGAAACTCGAGTCTGTCATACATCTACCTAACTAAACAATGACGTCATCAATGCATATTTGGTGAGAACAGCTGACGAAGGGCTGCAGCCAGGGCCGTACCAACCGGAATTTCCTCCAATTAAGAAAAATTTAGGAGCCTGTATCTCAAGCTACCGCATGGAATTAATACTACCACACGATTCTACTAGGTGAGTACTACCTACCTGACTAAACTTCATGTCTCAATTCCAATGTTAACTAATGTAAAAATGACCAATATTTTTAATCACTAAAAGTATTCAATTAAATTTATAGATGAAACAACTACTTAGATAGGGATTACTTCATATTACAATAAAATAAAAGCTTTAATATTTGAAACAAAAAATAAGTAAATACTAACTTCCTTATAACTGACATGATAAATATTACTGACCCTCACACATTAATGACTGGCATTTTAAGAAGATAAAGTTCTGAAGCATGAACCTTCATCAGTTATGAACCATAACTAAGTAAATCAGACATTCTCCCGCTTCGTTCATATAAAACGCAGAATTAATTTAGATAATTACACTAAACACACTAAACATTGGCAACTTTGATTTTTACAGTATGTAAACGTTAGACTATGAAATAAAGTAAGGACGGAGTATAAAGTGCGATTATGGATTAAATGACGTACTACGTCTGCTCTGTACGAGTGACCAATAGAATTTAGGCATAAGATAGTCTTAATCCATCCAGTTTATACACCGTCTGTATATTATTCCGTAGTCCTTGGTGTAAACATAATATTTTCCTGTTAGTAGATGCCTTGTAAGCCAGCAGACCATATTCCTAAAAGCTAGGTTAGGTTGGGTTGTTTGTTGTTCATTGAAACTAAACTGATCTTTTGTTTTAATTCAGATCCACGCTAATAAAGAAACCTATACAACTACATACGTGAGGAAAATATTTTCAAGTTACTGTAACAATAATCAGTTAAAATGCTGTAGAATGATTCAACCAATATTTTACAGGAAATTTAGTATGTCCGTTCGTAATTATTATTTGAAATCAATAAATAAATTGCAAACTAACTTGAATTTTTAACTACTTCAAAGATCAAGAAAATACATCATTTACTAATATTTCACGCCTTTTCCTTCCTTTCGATCGATTCAATAAAAGGATTACTTTAGTTTCTATGCCAAAGGTTGCAACACGCCACTGAGTAGAATTTAATTAAAAATATTATGCGACGATATAGTCAAGACTATTGTTACATCATAATCAGAGTTGCTTAGTGATTACAAGAGACTGTTAATAGAAAATGTTTCATTGTTTTGGTTTTATTTTATATAATTTTTGTAAAAATTTCATTCATGACATTATTTATTGAAAATGATTGTAAATATATACCTACAATCTCCGATGTAAAAATAGTCACTGCGTCTTTTTTTGCATTGAAATAGATAAATTAAATAAAATCACCCAATGTAATAAAAATGAAGGATGAACAAGGAAGTACCTGTAAAATGCAGCATTCTTTTAACTTACAAATAGTATTTATTTTATGTGTGTCAGTCACGAATGTCTAGTTCTTGTATAGAAATAAGAAGAATATTATCCTGAGGAAAGTGTTTTAAAAACAAGATCACGTTTTGGACAGGTTGACTACCCATCGTGTCCATTAAGTTAATCATGCTTTTTATATCGTATTTATATCTACAATAAGCATGACTGATCCATGTCTTCGTTGTTCTTGCCGTTTATTTAGAAAGCGTTTTGATTCTGTGAAATTGAAATCAAAACTGCGATTGATCTTCACAATAAAAAGGTAATAAAAGCTAGATTTCTGAGTTGCCACTGAACAAAAGCAAAAAATTTCTGAACATCCCTACAAGTTGTAATATGTATATTTAAGTATTAAATTATTCCATACGTTGCTTAGTTTCATCAATTAACATATAATCGTGAGACTAAAGTTTTTGTATGTTTAATATATTTCACAGGAATAAAGTGAAAAAAAAATATTAGGTTAGATAATTTAATTTTTAAAAGCAAATCTACAAGATATAATTACTAATACCTACATCAGATCTTTATAAATATGTAAACATCAAGGATTATAGAAATAACAATGCAAGACAAAAAAATTACAGCAAACAAATTTATTTTTAATAAAATTAAATTGCTGTTATCTGTGATAATATTAAATGAAGAGCATATATGATGTAATGTAAGGCACAATATTTAAACAATTGTTTAAAACAAATGCCTATCTCAATTTTTAATCTTTAATCCAACCCATTTATCTAATAATATTGCAGTATCTCTATCAGTATAATAGTTTTACTTTCATAATCTTGTGTAGGCTAATCAATTGTGAGGAAAACATACCTTATTAAATACATATTTATAAAATATTTTAGGATTATAGTAAGTATAACTTTTTACTTTATAAAATGAAAATGAAAATAATTTTACACATATTTTTTGTGGCAGTCGACTGCAATAAAAATGATAATTTTTAAAATAATTTCTGTAAATATACAAGACCGAAGATTTTCCTTGTTTTTCCCGTAAAATTTCAATAAGGGACCGTTCCACGTTTTTTTTTTCTTTTTTTAATTTCAAACTACGTGGTTTCGGAAATGGGAATAAGAGGATAAAGGAGTGGCTTATTGCTCGAAATTTTTCAGGATATTTTTCTATATACCTATGCTATTTGAATATACAGTTTTGTATTTCGCAAAAAAAAACAGAACTTTTAAATTACATCCAACATGACACCCACATAAAATAAAAACAATTATTTCGACCACTTCATTTTTTTTTTGAATGATGCACTATTTAAATAAAATAATTAGAGTGATACATACTAATAGGTAAAATAATTGCAAATAAGGTGTCAAACCTTGATTTTTTGGCAATAAGACTGGCTTAGTATTTCAGTGTTTAAATTAAATGTAATTATTGTAACCACTAAGTGATTAACTAAATCACCCCTGATCACATTCTTTTCATATTTGTAAAATCTCATTGAAATCGGTTCAGTCGTTTCAATGATTAGCCCATGCAAACAAACACACAGACAAAAAGTAATCCAGAGTCTAGATAACCTCTAGTAATTTCTTGTTTGTAAAATTATATCGAAAGCAGTCCAGCCGTTTCGAAGATTATCCCATATAGACAGGCAGATAAAAAAAATTAAGGTTAGTTTTTGTCATAATACGCTTAAAACGAAGGGTTATTTTAATATTACAGATACTTTTATTGATACCTAAGTTTGTAGGTACGTATGCATAAGTGGATAAAAAGTGTTTAATTGTTTTTTGGTTCCCAAATAAGTAGGTTTCTATTTTTCATTTTTGTACCCACATACCTATTATATACCTTTCTAGAAGTTTTTCGGTCGATAATTAAATGACTTTTATAAAGGGTGTCCTTCAAAGTAGCTGTGAAATGTCGAATTCAAGTGAAAACGCTCAACGTAATTTTTGTTACTGATTTTCTAATAAACGCGTATAATTGGTATCCGTTAATGCATTCATAATATCGACAGCCTTATTAATGCTCAATCCGGTTTCCTTTCACCAATTGATGGAATGTTATGTTGTGCTGCATGTAGACATAAGTAAGTATTATACGCTTACTCTAACGAGCATACCAACCTTACCGGGATATCGATAGCATTTCAGCTGCTGGTGTTGTATAAATCCGAAGGAAAATCGAAGAACAAACTTTCTGTTATTTCTTATTCCTTATGTAGGACGAAGATATCCGGCTTTGAGCAGAAAAACGACCGGCCTCTCAAAAATTAACGACGAATTCAAAAATATATAAATGTCAATTCAATGCTAAAAATTTATTTCATTACTACCATACTTATAAATATCTGTTTATACGCTTTCGAATAAGTTTATTATATAATAAACATGCAAAAAAGTTTGCATAATACGTACGTACGATATTTTATGTTAAAACTAAAAAGCATATGCGGAACTACTACTACAGAACTCATATTTGCAAGGGATGCATTACGCATGTTTTACATTTACAGAAAAATTATCAATAAATAAATATGATTCACTTATTCACGTACAAATATCGAAAATAATATTATCAAATACACAATTTTTAGTTTTATGATTGTATTTCAGCGCACCGTAAAGAAATTAGCTATTATCCAAATAAAATATATAAATACCTGTAATACTGTGTAAAAGTAGTAAAAGTGGAATTGTAATCGACCCCATAATCGGTCTCCTTGGTTGTAACATTTTCTTTTGAGCACTGAAATCACTTATTACAATAATAACTTAGTAGTTGTAAGTTAGCATCCCTTTTTTCACGCTATGTCCACCACTATCATTACGAAAGCAATTAATAACTATCCACTTCGCGTATCTCTTCAATTAAAGTACGTCTTTTTTTCTTTTTTCACACACTAACTCAATTATTAAGTATTTTTTTGAAAAAATAATTACATATTTTTTAACGCGACCACAAGACGCGTTAACATAAGAGTACTACTTCTACAGTACCTGTTATTGTACGTAAAATAAGCCGCGATTTGAAAACCGTGTCACTTGCAACTTTTTAACTGCATGTCTTGGCGGACACTGAAGTAAAAGGTGCTACCATCAAGTCACTTGCGCCTCCAAGACAACAGACCCAACACCAAGCCACACTCTAGAAAGCGGCCGACCAAGAAGAAGAATATTGGCTTACAATTAGAATACTTTTATATACACAACACACAGACTTAAACACTCTGTCTCGTTACATTTTCGAAAAAAGACTGTGGTACCTATATCATCAGGAGGTAATGTAACAAATAGATTTAATTAGTAATATTTATTTAAAGCTACTTCATGATTGTAATTAAAATTAAATTAAAATTTAACAATGGTGGGTTATTGACTTCTGATTGATCATTTCATCTCTAACTTGTGTCTGCAAATTTATAAATGTTCTTATAAATTCAAGTAATATTAAAATTAAAATGCTAATTGTAATTAATTAAATGTTCCTTACATATTAAATTTATCTTTTTGTTAGTAGGATTCTTTAATGCGCGTATAAAACACCCTACCAGTTTGACTAATATAAACTTTAGTAAAGCTTTAATAAAGCTTCT